GTTGTAATGTGACAAAATATGGAAAAGTTCAAGGGGTATGAATACTTTTGCAAACCACTGTAGATACTACCATGAAGGTTAGATGCATCAGCGTGGATCAACTGAAGGAGGCTTATAAAGCTGCAGCTGATCATCAGACAAATCCAACAGGTGTGTGTATTCAGGGTCAGATCACCAATCACCACACAGGAACACAGGTAGAACTGATTCTTCACAAGCACTCTTATGATTAGTGCGGCTTCAAGTATACTAAAGTATACTTAGATTTAGTATACTTAGTATAATATTTTTTTCTCCTGGGTGACACCATTATTTCAGAAGCAATATGAAATCTCACCTGGATATGAGCCCAGGTTGTGCTGGAAGTTTTGCAGCTAACTGCTAGCTGCTGTGATTAGCACATGCGTACAATCATAAAATAAGATGTAAACAAGCATGTGTTACTAAATTTATGTCAGTGTAAACAACAAAGCTTTTAATACTGGAGATGTTTTAAGACAGCAGCCATCCATTACGGTCYTGGCTGTGCTTGGACTAGCCATTAGCTCGTCAGTAGGCCTACTGTTAGAATCAAACTATTTCTTCAAGCTGAGATCATTCAAAAAGCTGATCAAACTAATAACTCACTGGTTTAGGACTGTTGGAAACTAGCTAAAGACACTTGTTGGCGACTTGTTGGCAAATCAAACCTGTGAGATTTCTGAGTATTTGTGACCAATCAACCAGAAATGTAAGACAGKTTTGTGAGGGTTCAGCGATCTGTCAAACCAAACTAACTGGGGTCAAAAGAAGAGAATAAGTTGTGATGAAGAGACAWTAAGATGTTGCAGTTAATTCACGTTAGACCATTCAATCAGAGGTTATTATCATAAACAAACATTCATCAATATTAAATTGGACAAATATGCAGGCATTTTTCCATTTGCCAGATGTAATGTTAGAGACAACTCTGGAAGAAGTGAATTGTTGGATTGTAGGACTTTTTAAACAATATATAAGTATAATTTTGTAATGTGACAACTTTATTTTGAACATGATTTTGATTTACATATAATTACTGTTTTCATTGTTTAGTATTTCAGTTCATTTTGAATTTTATTCTTCTTATCTGCTCTTACCCACATGAACTGAACAAGCCACGAGATATTCAAAATATTTGATTATTTTCGCTCCCACCAGTACCCACTTTTTACTTTACTGAATGATCCAACACTCAGTTGGGACTTCTGCACTTGTTATTGGTATCTAAATAACAATATATACTCTCAACCAAGGCAGCAAAAATGCAACCAAAACAAGCTCAAGAAGCAGATTTATAGCTGAAAGATATTTAAGAAAAAAATCTCCTCTATGATCTTAAAGAAAAGTTTGGCACAAATCATTTAAGAGCAAATACATCTAGTCTGTATCACAATGTAAAATTACTGGTTGAATTTGTTCAACTCTAATAGWGTTTCCAGAGCAACCTCAGAGTTTATACCTGTGACCCGGCTGATTTGCGCRTTTGTAACTATAAAATGTCAAAATTGAGTATGTACTCAAATGTGTACTGGTAAATATCAATTCAGTCACAGCTAAATGAGGCCTTTGTGGTCAAATATCCTGTAAGTTGTAAGTTTATGCATCCTGAAAATAATCTTTAAAAATAAWCTTAGACTGAAAATTTCCAGAGCTGATGAAAATCTGGACTGAAGACCTCGAAAGTCTACAACGTTACTCTGACTAACCACTGGTGAAGRTTTACCAGACAGGTTTTACCAAAACAAGTTCCCCTCTGACATTTTCCTGCAAATTAAGAAAGTTATGAGCTAATTTTACACAACTTGTGCTCAAAGTCRAGCAACAACATTGCTATCCTCTGCAGCTCATGCAAAGGATAATTACTCTAAGTATTCATGGGGAACTAAATGTAATTGCCTCTTGGCCAGGACTCCCTTGAAAAAAAAGTTTTTAATCTCAATGGAACCTTCCTGGTTAAATAAAGGTTAAATAAAATAAAATTTTAAAAGAAACGACAAAATTCAGCAATCTTTTGGAGACATTTTTGGAGACTTCTTTGTTCTCCAACAGTTACAGCCCAGAAGGACACTGATGACAAATAACAGGAGTTATTCAACAGAAGCTCGTTTACAGATCAGTTGAAAATTTTGTCCATTTTCAAAATATGAATCACACTTTAYCAAATGTATAGATCCACAGAAGTTATATTATATAAATATTAAAGTCACATAAAAATCATCTGTTTGTGTTTACTGTATGTATATTGTCGTGGTAAGAATGGTCAGAAACACGGCGAAAAGGGTGTTTAAAAGACAAGTCTTGCGGGTATGATTATAAAGTCATTTATTGATGGGCAGACATGAAACAGAAAGCAATCACGAAGTCTGTAAGATGTGGGCCCGGCTGTCATAGGCCGGGCAAGCAATGTTATACTGNGTCATAGGCCGGGCAAGCAATGTTATACTGTCAGCTATCATTATGTGATAATGAGCAACCAGTCAGCTTCTGACATGAAGTAGGTCAGCTTGATGATGACGTCCAGGGATATCACAAGATATGAACAATTGGACAGTGTCAAGGTGATACATAATCAGTATTCCACAACATATATGTAAACTGTTTTTTTATTGTGTACACTCTCATACAATACATAATATAAATTGCAGAGTAAGAAATGTACTTTATACAGATCAGTATATTCAGTGGGATCAATACTTATCAGGAACAAACATTATCATACTAGAACTACAAAAAGACCATTTTTGGCATAAACAAGTGGTTCTGCTCAACACAGTCAAGTTGTTTCACAAGGAAATGAAACGGTCTGTCAGTCAACATGAACATAAACATTCTCTGCAAACACAGTTTGACACATTATGATAACATTAAACATTAGGTATAAATAGAAATGTGGGCATTTATATGACATAAAGCCACTTTAAAAGTTCTCTGGGAAATGTTCTGTTACTGGACTTTTTTGTCCTTGTCGGCCACCACCTCAGAGAGGTCCTCCGGTTTCATGGAYTTCACCTTGGCCTCCATACTGGTGACCCTCTGCTTCAGCCTCGCCTGTGTGGAGGTGAACTCTGCCATTAGCTGGGCAAACTTGGTCTGCATCATGTCCAGGTTGCTCTGCAATTTGACAATCTTCTCTTCCAGGTCTTTGGGGTCAGCGCCTGCGTTCGCCACTGCCTCGTCWATCAGATTGTCTTTCATCAGGATAGCTTTGCCTTTCTCTTCCAGAGCTTTCTTGGCCTCTGGATACTCAGTGAGCGCTTCCATCAGATCATCTTTAGAAAGGGCAAAGAGGTCAGARTAACCCACGCTCCTGATGTTTGCTGTTCGTCTGTTGCCTGCTTTACTACCCTTGATACCCAGGATACTGATTTCCCCAAAGTATGCTCCGTCACTGAGCACTACAAACTGAGTWACTCCATCGTCTGCCACCACTGCCAGCTTCCCCTCTTTGATGATGTACATCTCTCTGCCAATGTCTCCTTTCTTACAGATGTAATCTCCAGGACTAAACACCTGAGGTTGCAGCTTGAGCACCAGTTCAATCAACAGACCCGCCTCACAGTCCTGGAAAATTCGTACTTTTTTCAGCGTATCCAAGTGGACGTTGATGGCAATCTCAGCCTTGAGCTTGTCAGGGAGGTTTTTCAAAACTTCCTTCTCATCACAGGTCTTTTTTTCAGTCCACAGRTAGTCAAACCACTTGATGACCCTGGCTTCCAGATCTTTGGTGACCTTTCGAAACTGCATGTATTGCTTTATGGAGTCAATCTTTGCCTGGAACTCAGCACGAGAGGCGTTCATGTTCGAGATCATGGCACCAACGTTACCGACAATACTAGCGAAAATCAGCACTCCGGTGAGAAAGTCTGCAATGACAAAGACAAATTCAACATCTTTGACTGGTGCAGGGGTCTCTCCGATGGTGGTGAGGGTAAGCGTAGACCAGTACAGGGAGTAGATGTATTTGCGTGCCAATCGATTATACTCTGGGTTGCTGATGTTGGGATACACCCAAGTGTCTGCTCCAAAACCAATGGTTTTAGAAATAGCAAAGAACATACAGGCATTCCAGTGGATAATGACAAGGATGTAAAGCACGAGGTTGCTGATACGAAACATGTTCGGGAAGCTGGTTCTGGTCTCTGTCCGCTCAAAGAATTCAAAAAGTCTCTGGATTTTGCAAAGACGGTTGAGGCGGAACTCTGGGTTGTTAAATCCATATTGCAGGAAGAGGAGGTCAGTGGGTATCATTGAAATCATGTCATATTTGAACTGAGACGTTGTTCTGTAGTTCGCTCTTAGTTTTTTGGCATCTTTAACCAGCAGGCCTTGCTCAAGGTAACCTGAGGGACAACCCAGAAAAAAAACAAACTTAAAAATTATAAAGTTGTTATTTTTGTTTTGTTTTTTGTTTTAAATCCAGAACTTCACCTGTTCTTGATCGAACAAAGGTGTCCATCAAGTAAATAAAATCTGCTGTGTAGTCCAGTACTATCCAGAGCTTTGGATAGGATTCTTGTAGGTCATTGAAGCAAGCCCTGAAACAGAAGAATAAGGAAAATGTTTTATTTGTGCCCAACTAAGTACAGAATTAGTTAATGCTGATAAGAATATACCTGGTTATGATCATCATCAGATTATAAAATACCGGGCCTGCAATGACGCTCAGCCACCTGTAGTACTGCTCCGAGGCTGGATCCATGATCCAGATCTCCTTTCTGAAAACAACTCAGAATTAAATGATGCTGTTGTAAAAGTTTACAATTGTGAGACGATCAGCGAACAGCCAGAAAAGTGTTCTCTAAAACTAATCTACCTAACAGAGTACTCACGGTGGCTCCTCTTTCTTTTTCTCATCTTTTTTATCTTTTTTGTCGTCTTTCTTCTCATCCTTCTTCTCATCTTTTTTCTCATCCTTCTTCTCATCTTTTTTCTCATCCTTCTTCTCATCTTTATTCTCCTCTTTCTTGTCTCCGTCCTTATCGTCCTTTTTCTCCTCCTCTTTCTTCTCTTCTTTCTTAATCTCCTCTTTTTTGTCCTCTTTTTTGCTACAGATTACAGTTTTAGTTACAGGAAGTACGGGGGCGGGGGTCACAGGTGACTGTCATGAAACTACTTGACTACTTTTAAAAGGGAGGTACTTTATCTACAGTTTTGAATTTTGTAGTTTGTTGGAAAGTGTGGTGCAGATCATATCTTCTCCAGCAGATGGCACAGCATGCCTACAATTTATATCTTAATAAAGTTAGTCCTGAGGCAGCTTCTGCAACAATGAAGCTCTGGACCCAAATGAGGGTCTTTAGCCCCTCTGAAGTTGACGACATGAAGGCTTAATGTTTAGGTTATATTCAAAAATAAGAAAGAATGTAGCAGTTTAACCATTTTAATAATTACAATACATATACAATGTGCATGAAATTTCTGCAGCAGAATGACACGGATAATAAAATACTGTCTGTTTGGCTGTGTAGGAACTCACTTTTGGTCAACGGAGCAGCTATTTAAATAAAGACCGTGGCCTTTTTATTTTGATGATCAAGAAACTGGTCTACTTTTATTTTCACTATTTTTCAGAGTTTAGGGTGCAACTTAATGCTCTAAGGATTTCTGAGTTATCTATCAATTTGACTTATTTCCTAGAAATATAAGGACAAATTTAAATAAGGTACAACAACTTTTTTGTTGTATCTGTATCAGGCCCAGCAATTTTACTAGCACTCATTCAAAATGCCCTGATATTTGGAACCCATACCAGTATACCAGTGTCGATAATGGTATACTGGTCGATACTCTAATGAATGTGTTACAGTTTGTATTTTAAGTTGAAAGTTTGTCAGTTTCATGTTTAACACAACGGCTCAGTGGTCAGCACTGCCACCTCACTGCAAGAAGGTCCTGGATTCAATCCCCAGTTGTATTTCTGGCAGAGTTTGCATGTTCTTGTACATGTTCACACCCCAAAAACATGTACAACGGTTGCCTTCAGGCCTAGGCCTCACTTGAAAATGTGATTTGTGATCTCAATGTGATTTGCCTCATCAAAAAACGGTAAATAAAAATAACAAATTTGTACAAGTTGGAAAAAAAAATCTTATTGTGTTTTTTTATTCTTTATTTTTTGTAATGTTTTAACAGTATCTGTCATGCTGTATGCTTGATTTGATCCAGTCAGAGGGGCTTGTAGGCCTATAAGGAAGGAGAGACACCTTGTTCTAAATGAAAGAAATGTGTCCTTAAAGTCACTGTGTAAGGTTTAAGTTCTAAGTTTTTGGTATTGGAACTTGACAATGGTGAATGCCCAAACTGAAATACTCATAACAGGTTTGCAAAAAACTAATATTGGGACACCATTAATTATCAGGAGCAATGGTAAGAACGACTCTTTCATGTGTAAAGGTTGCAGACACCTGTCCTTTTTTATTTTATTGTTTTTATTCAACCCACATCAACACTTCCAACAAAATGTGATGTTAAACACAGAACTTTTTTTGCGGGCTATCGGGGTGCCACCAAAAACAGAGACAGACCCTGTCTGTGCACCCTCTCCAATACAGGCAGCATCATTTCCACTGGAGGAAATGAAGGAAGTATACTGAGCCATTAGTGTGCTAGACTAGAGCATCCTCTCCTAGTGAAGCATTCTTATGTTATGCAAAATAACGGAGGGTGATGGTGTTAGCCCCAGTGCCAAAGAGATCAGTCAGACAGCAGCTTTGCCAAACAGACGCCATATCTGAGCCACCACTGAGGAGTGAAATCTATATTCCCTCACCGGAGGTCCACCTCTAGAGGGCAAAAATGCACTATTATACTGTGCTGCCTGAGACGGATGCTGTTTTTAGAACAGCCAAGATGATTGGACTTTTAGATTAGATGATTATGGTGTCACCATGGGCACTAGTCTCCACCAAAGGTACAGTTTCACAAAAACTGTGTAACATATTGCAAAAGAAATGAGGACAAAATTTGTTTACGGCGTAGTGTCTTTATCAAGCAAACTGTCCTCATTGATGAGGCTACATCTGCAAGGTATCCTGACCTCTTCACATGGAACTGTAAGAACCATCGTCTAGAGCTTCCTGTATCAGATGCTGTRGACAACGTTGTGTCAGTAAATAATTTTAAAGCATTTGTGGAAAGGACTCACAATCTATGCAGCCAGTCCAATRAAAACTCTAGAGTACCTTTGGAAGCTGCACAAGACGTTGGCTCACACATCCAACAAATTGACAAAGCTTTGAACACAATATATGGAAAACAACTTCACTGCTGTGAAAGCTATGTGGAGGTCCCATGATGCACTCAGGAGACCAAATAACAAGCACAAAGAGAGACAAACTTATGTCATTTGCAAAGAATTTCTTTCTGACCTAGGACTAATGTATGTACTTTCTGAACCTGTCCCAGCAACTCCAAGCACAGTCTGCCACACTTTCAAAAGCAGAACAACTTTTAAATTGTACAGTTTGTATGCAAAGGTCCTTCAAAGACAGGAGAAAAATCAGTGGAAGCCATTAAAACACGAGGGGAAATACTTTGTGATCTAAGCATACTCAATGAAAACCACTGCTCACCTAAACCTAGTATAAGATATGGTGAGACAGAAGTAATGAGACTTTGTAGGAGAGTTAGTCTTTATGAAAACCATCAAAAAAGTGTTTTTAGGGAGTTGATAAACAAAGGTACTGAGAATTACAGTAATGACAAACAGGTTTTTAGTGCAGGTGTAGGGCCTGTAACATGTTGCCATCAGTTCATTTATAAAATGATGTGATTTGAGCTGTTTTTAGCCAAGAGGCGTCCCATTTTTCATGTGCTGTMCTGAGTGAGTCGAAGGAAAGGGAACTCAGAGAAGTAAAGGGAAATTATTGCCGTAATGCAAGTTTGGGGAAAGAAATACAGGAAAATGGGTTTCTAAGGTATTTTTTATATTACTGACTTTGCTACTACTACTGCTAAGATAAGGAGCAAAAAACTGCTACAGCTATTAAGTGTAGTCATTGTCTATTTTTTTCTACGAATTTGTGTATCTACCTTCAAATACATGCATACACTTACTCATCTGTGTTGTTGCAGTTATTTAGATTGTAAGTAGCAAGAGGCCACTTACTGATGAGACTAAACAGAAACAGAAGGAAACATTTTTGAATACAACATGGCTATTTTAAAATAATAACTGTCATTTTTCTGTTCACTAAAAAATCAAAATAAACATACACACATGTACACGCAACACAAAAGAACTTTAAATGTGTACAAGCCTACACTCTGTTGTTAGTTTACACTTTATACTACTTTAGCCTGCTAGCTTACACTTGATGAAACTTTACACTGATAGTTTATACTTCATAAAACCTTACTCCACTAGTTTATGCTAGCTTACAATTTCTGCTATTTTACACTGTTAGTTTACACTTGATGAAACTTTACACTTCTACTTTACACTTTATGCTAGTTCACACCGCTATTTTACAACTTATGCTATTTTACACTGCTAGTGTACACTTTATGATAGCTCACAAATTTAGATGTAGTTAGCTAGCAAATTGGTATCTAATTACAAATATTTCTAAATTGATTTGAATGTTCATGTTTTATTTTCTCAGTACACTCATATGTGCATATCAGAAAATATATTGCACTACTGAATTTAAAGTCTCATTTTTATTTATTTATTAAAATAAAAACCTTTCAGTCTAGTTTTATGCATCAAATATTTAACMAAAAGATTGCTAATATACTTCATTGTAACTAAAATGTTGGTTAGTTATCCTGTCTTGTGTTTATTTTTTCCCACTTTTGAACAAAACACAACATAATAATTAACTTGTGGGAACAATGCAACACTGCGCTTACTTTCTTTTTCGATGTTTGTCATTATGGCCCACAGATTGGGTGCTGCTCTCTTCACTGGATGCTGCTTTGAGTCTTGGCCCTCTGAAGCGCTCAAGAAACGAGTCCTGCCTTTCTTCTACAGGGTTCATCCTGTGAGATATCCAGTTCCGCAGCATGAAGAAAAAGTAGGACAGCCTAAAGGGTCAGTGGGAGACGAAACAATAAAATGACTATACAGTATATACTTGGATCAAATAATTGYTCAAACCCATTCACGGTAAATACAAGTGGTGAAGGAAGTAATTTAATTCTCAAAAGTGGACATTTTCATTCTGCAATAAAAGTCCCCCAACGATGGTATTGCAACCAGGATATGGAAATACACTTATCGAAGTAAACTGGGTAGACTGGTACTTCATCTAAAAATTATAAAAACATTTATAAATGCTTCTAAAGAAATGCAGGTTTTCTCCAAGTAATCTGGTTTCTTTTCACATTTCGGAAAGATTTTAGGTTCATTGATGAATTAAAATAGCCCCTGAGTGTTTATGCAGACCTTATGTAGAATGGCGACACACCCAAGGTTTACCACACCTTAGAAATGTGACGTTCAGGAACGATAAAAATATTTTGTATGTATTTTATAGTTTTATGTTTTATTTCTCATAAAATCTTTTTTTTTCATCCTTAAACACAGAGACAATCCGACTTCGCTTTTTCATTGAAAACAGGCAGAGTGGTGGAGTACAGCAGCTCATCGGGGGGCAGGGGCGGTTCTGCTTGACAAAACACATGGTTCTATCCACGGAACGTGACGACTTATTTTCATATGTGATGATTTGTCTGAAATCAAATGGCTCTTTTGAACGGCAACGGCTTCTCAAGATCTGGATCCCTTCAAAGAGCCACTTCTCCCATCTCTACCACACCTGCAACAWGTTGCTTGCTGGAGCATCAACTCCCTACTGTATAATCCTGACTAGGATCAAACAGCTGTAATGGAGTGAAAAGATGTATGAAAATAATAGAATATAATAATCAAAGTGCAATCTTGAAACAATTAGGTGCCAAAATAAGGACCAGGGAGATGGATGGATGGATGGATGGATGGATGGATGGATGGATGGATGGATGGATGGATGGATGGATGGATGGATGGA